GGTATATAACAACAAAAAAGGTTGAATCATGTCATCTGGACTTCGTTAAAGCGGGTTAAAGCATTTGTCTTGTCATTAGAAGACTGTGGCTTCTAATCACATAACATAACTTATTCACTTTTATATATTTTTTTAAATAAATGTGAAAAAAGATCCAAAATATTTTGAGCTCGAGTGTTGGGCAGTCTGCTGTCTCTCGGGTGGAAGGCGTCTGTTTCGCTGATTTATTAGACGGGACTGTTTTTCACGAGACACAACCTCGACCCCACGGGAGGAAGAAAATAGTTGACAAGTTTGTGCACAAAAAAACAAAACAAAAATGAAATAAAATAAATAAAATATTAAGCAACGTATACCCTATTTTTACCACAGAAAATGGATGGATTGATATTTTGACGTAGGGTTTGTTGTTTGATGTAGATAACTCTTTGAACAACCTCATTTAAGAGGAACAGCTAATTTTCAGGTGTCTCTTGTAAATGAGTCCCCGAGGCTCAATGGGATTAACCTGTATAAATAAAGGTTGAACGAAAAGTGGACAAGACCTGAGTGGGTTGCTGCTATCTCAAAACAGAAATAGAAAAACACACATTTCTATGTAATTAATTAAGTAATGTGAAACTGATGGCAAAGTAAAGGTTTATAAAATAAAGTTTATGAACCACTGTGGCATTTTGGGGGTTAGAAGATTAAAAATAAATTAATTTAAAAAAAATCTACTTTAGTCTTGGCTCTCCTCAAACTAGGTGTTCGCCCATCTGCCAGGTTAGAATTCAACTTTATTATCTACAAACTGAGGTCATTCAAAGAGTTATCTACACCAGGTAAGATATTCCTTATTAATATTCGTTCCACAGAACACTTCAAAAAAATCTAGTCTATTAATGATTTAAATACAACATAACAATTGAAGTCGTGCAGATTCAGATATTTGAAGCGTCCAATTATAATTTATTGTCTAAATACATAATTTTAGAAGGGATTTTAAATAAAAAACTGTAAAATGTCTAAAAGTTGAAGCCGTTGAAACGGTAATGAGCATCTCACTCACCAAAATCACGTGTCCATGCCAGGATGCCATCATTGCCTCCAGAAAAGCACGCCCAGAAAAACCCCTCATGGTATGAAACTATTTTTTTATTGTCCTGGTGCACATGTCCCACCTGAAATAAACAACACAAATAAAATATCATGATGTACTCCTATGTAGAACGTCTGATGCTCATGTAGGTACACTTGTGTCAATTAAAGTGTAAGATAAGTTCAAGATGATGTGAGGCAGTTTTGATGCTGTTATTAAAGAGCTGCTAAATCAGGTCTACGCTGCCTTTGGTTGGTTGTGACTGAACTCACAACATCATGGAAAACTTTACTGTTGGTGGTCACTATTCATGTGCACAAAGCAGCACCTTTAATGATCTATCATGTCACTAATAAAACGTTTGTCAGAGAAACATAAAGTGGAAGCTGAGAGCAACTCAAGCTAATAAAGCTTCAGAAGGTTAGTCTGAATCCACTTATGGAAAGATCTGTGTCCATTTATTCATTTTTGTATTTATTTATTTTCCATCATGTTGAGTTTGTTTAAAGATCCAGAAAATATGAACTTATTGTTTAAAGCTTCTCAGTCTGGGTCTGTGAATCTCTCACAGCGATTTGAGAATGGATCTAAGGGCCATGCATGAGTCATCTTATAAACCTTTACATCATCTGCACTTTTGCATTAGACGGTTATTTGCACAAAAGTCTGATTGCACTAAAAAACAACTAGACTGCAGTACGTGGTCTGTGTGAATTTTTGTACCTGTCTAAATGAAAATGTGGCGTAAAAAAACAAAGCGCATTCATTTAAAATGATGTAAGACTGATGATGATGTAAGTTTTTCTGCCTAGTTACTCTGTTTTGCAAAATACTGTAATTAATATGGACCATTAATGATTATGATGACATTTTTCAACCTTTATTTATATAGGTTAATCCCATTGAGCCTTGGGGACTCATTTACAAGAGAGACCTGACTTCAATGGGTTATCTCCTCACTGTAAATAATCGTAAACTTTTATATCCAAAATAAAAACTGTGATAATATAAAAGTCTATAAAAAAGAATTTGCATGTGATGCTACATCTGTTTAGGGTTTTCTCTGCTTCTGGCCCAGTGACCACACATCAGCAGGTCCTCAGAACATGAGTGGATGAACGACCAGGTTGTTTTTAATGGCGCAGAAACCTGCTTTAGTCTTGACTCCACTCTGACTAGCTTTAAGCTTGTCCCCACTCCACTGAACACTACTTAAAAAAATCCAAACTATTGATTTAAAGATGCAGTGTTAAAATTAAAATCTAAAAAAAACTCATAGCTGAATTTTATTCGGACAGGTACTGATGCATTTACGAGTGATTAGACCAAGGAAAATCCCTTGTACCGCACTGTTTATATTGTCCTGCTTTCCTGTCCCAGCATCAGTTTCAGCGCCCACTCAGAAAATCTAAGTATGTCCTAGTCGGTGATATTTAATAGGGCATCATACCTTTGAGATAGCTGGTATTTGTACGCCTGTCTTAGAGGTACACTTTGCTGTGCCTCACCAAGTGCATAGCTCCACACACAACATTAAACAGTGTCCAGTTACTCGCAGCAGTTCCACACGGACACCTCTCCACCCTCCACTTGAATGAGTAATTGGAGCAATTGAAAATGCTTTGAAATAAGCTCATTTATTCGAATATAGGTGCTCACTCAGGCTTTTGCAATATTTTCTGTCCAACTGAGACTAATTCTCATCTAAAAACATTTTTGACCTGACAGGGGTTATAAATGTGAAAAATGATTAACTCAAAACTGATGTTCCAACTAGAAAGACACATAAACCTGAATATTTCTAACATTTTGGACCTGCCCTGGTTGTAAGTCCAACACCCACCTCTTTGTCCGAGCTGTCAGGCTGGCAGGCCTCCGAGGCCAGCAGCCAGTAATCGGTTCCAAAAGAAAGCAGGATGAGCACCGCTGCCAAAGCCCCAAAGAGCCCTGCAAAAAACAACGCCACGCTTAGCTTCATGGTCCGGAGTCAGCTGCTGGATTCCCACTGTTGGTTTGCCTCGGTCCTTCGATTACAGCAAGTTCATGTGACAAGTTAAGGCAGAAACTTTAATGTTGTATGTCAAATTAATTCTGGGTTCTGTTCATCTGGTTTTTGTTGGGTTACTGGATCTTTACTCCTCCCTGCTATCTGTTTGTGTCAAACTTGTCCACATGACTCCTCTGGACCCTCCACTGGGGTGTGTAGCTAGCCCGACCCCCGGCCCCCGGGCTATTTTTGATGTTTGTCTGAAGGCGGCTGCTTCACTGCACTATGGAGCTGAGCGTGTGTGATGGGGGGGGGGGGGGGGGGGGATTTTACAGCGTGAAGGAGGGGGGTCTGTGCAGAAATAACCTGGCAACTGCACACCCAAAGTCTAAAGGGAATGTCAGGGTGAGACCGAAAGGACAGAGGAGGAGTAACTCCTCATGTCCCAAACCTTTGCCCCATTAGATGATTACTGGAAATGCTGCCTTTACTCTAACACTAATTAATATGGCAATAACGCTGCGTGTATGTACATGAAATGTGAGACAAGAAGTCACAAAAAGATTTTAAAAATTAAACAAATAAATAAATAATATGGTAATAGTGGAACTTGGTAATCCAGGTAAAAATCCAATGGAGTTCAGTCAGGTCGTCTGGACGCTTTCTTTTTTTGTTGAGAGACATTTCATCCTTCATCCAAAGGACTTCACTAGTCTGAGGAGTCACAAACAAACTGAGTCCCACAAGCAGCACATTGTGTAGTGGACCAATTAGTTTGCTGGTGATAAGATGGTTTTGGGGGCCCACCTTCTCACCCGTTGACTCCTCCCAGGCAGCCACAGCCAAAGTGGTTCAATACGGTTTTTGTTGTTGTTTTGAGCCACTTTGTTACCTTTGAGACTTTTGGACAAAGAAATATTTTATGAATTGTTCTGTTTCATTGCTTCAGGTATGATGTAATTATTTGCAATGTGTGCTTGTGTGTCAGAGTCACAGTTTTGATTTCAATATTTTCATTCGGTTGGATTTGGACTGATGCCACCTTTCATTAAGCTCCTTCTTTTATTAGGTTTAACACCGCTTTATTAAAGTCCATACCTTTTGATACGACTTATGCGATGCCTTTACTTTGTTTCCTGTTTGATATCGAGTTCTACCTTTTGTTTTTTTCTTCCATTGCATGTGATAGCTTGATTTAACCTGCCACGTGTCTCTGTTCTTGTAGCCCATCATGATGGGATTCAATTAAACTCTGGTTTTGTGTTTTCAGTGACTTGTCTCTTGAGTTTTTCTGTGTTTGTGGCCATCTCATCAGGTTACCATGGTTACCTTGAGTTAAGAGCAAGTCATTCCTGCTCATTTAAGCTGCTTTATAGTTTGATGGCAAGGGGAATATTTAGCAGTGAGCCTATATGTAGACACTGTCTCACTGACACACTGCTGTGACCTCGGCCACCCCTAACTAAAGCTACTCCACTTTGTGTGTGCGTGTACCGGTGTGTGTGTGGACATCAACCGTACTAAGACTAGCAGTTTTCATGGAGGTCAAAGTTCAGTCTTAAAGTAAATTATTGCTGAATCAGAGATTTTCATGTTCATTGATACTATCCCAGTTTTGAGAATTGAATACAATGTGATTAGGGTGTGGTTCTCACGCAGTAAAAGAAAACATTTATTCACTTACATGGACATTTAAATATTCATATTTCTTTCATCTGTGTGATGTTGTGTCCACATTTTGATCAGTGGTAATCTTTCAGATTATTTTAAACCTTAATCTTGGTTTCTAAAAGCAGAATAAATTTAGTGCACCTTTGAAGAAAATACAGTATCTTCTTAAGATCTATCTAACAACTGCACTTCTGTTCCGAAGCTGAAGATGTGTCACTTCCTATCCGGGAGGCTTGAGCAATTCAAAAATGAATTTTGAAAAAAGACAATAAGACACCACCGATAAACTATTTTAAAGATGTTTGCATAAACATCTTCAATAAACATCGGATAAGTAGCAATGCACATGATTACCCAGCAGGTGGTGGTCGACTTTGCTGCTCTGGCAACCCCTAAAGAAGGGAGCAGCCGAAAGAAAAAATAAGGAGAATAAATTAAAAATAACAAAGATCATTTAAGGTTTATGAAGAAAACAACGTTTCTGAAATGAGTTGTTGTATTGTGTGTCAATGTCTGTTTAAAAAATAATATTGTGGACAGGTATTACCATCGTAATTTCATAATACTGACGCATATAAACGATATACGAACAAAACAAGTAGTTGTAGATAAATTAAATCATTTAAATTAAAGTAAAGCAGAAAGTAGTGTAAACATAACTAAAGCAAATAGTGCAAATAAAGCCTTAAAAATATATAAATATTACAAACTGACACTGCCGTGACGTCAGCGGGTGAAACCATCTTTGCGGAAGTCATGGGGGAGTAGCAGCAAAATGACGACTGTTCAGGACTATATAAACAGATTTAGACTGCAGAGCTAAACATTATCACGGAATATTCTTATAATACGTATCGGGATAACTGAAGAGTTTAAAAAATGTGTTTTTACTTAGCAGTATAACTCGGCGGTTTATAGCCACCCCCCAGTTTAAAATACTTCCGCACACCCCGGCACGAGGACGTGTGTTGTGTTTAACGGCCTGACCGCCCGGATGTGTCCTTCCGCCTCGGCTGCAACCAAGCTGTCACCGCCGGAGGATGAACCACCAGAAATGTAGCACTTTATTCCTGAAACTAAGGGAACGGAGGAGAATTATACGATGTATTTATGTGGTGGGCTTCATGGTGAGCGACTTACTGTACACCTGTTGGTTTTATTTGTCTGAATGTGTACCGGTAGTAGGATTTCATCATAGCTCAGGTATGTAGGACTAGTAAATTTACTCAATGAAAATGAGAAAATACAGACTCGTTAAACAAAAAAACAAACGTAATGACAGAAATTAACAGAAAATCGATAATGTGTTAGATCAGATAATCTTCACTGCCAAATAAATAGCTATTTAATGTAACAACAAGGTGACTGGTTTAACACGCCTATATATTAAGTAAGAGTAGCTCATGTTAAATATGTATTTTAGTACAAATGTTACTTTTTGTGTATGCTACAGCAGGTATTCAGAATCACAGAAAAATATGTTTAAGTTTGGCACCTCTGATTGTGTTGTGTTGACTTCATAGAACCACTATTTATTCTACAAGATGCACCATAGATTATTGGTGCAAGGACACTAAAACAACTCCAGTAACTTTAGAAATATTTGCCAATATATCCTAAAAGCAAGTTCAAACCACTCTGCTGCTGAGACTGCATTTTCAGTGCTTCTAAAGTTTTCAAAGACTATTTTCACCCATTTCATTGAAAATGACTGAAGTAATTCAGGCAGAGAAACAGCTGAGACAGTCCTGCTGCTGAAAGATGCATCGTTTATGGGATGAACTGTGTTAGATCACTGTATGAGCTGCAGTGTGTCTTCAATTAGATGTTCGGCCAAACGCTGCTCTGATTTCAGAAAAACAAAAGGAGGGATCACTTTTTGTAGCCGCTGAGTGTATTCTCTGCTCTGGACTCCAGCTAAAGATTATTGGACGTGATACACATGTTACCATGATAACTTTGTGACGCTAACCTGCCTGGCTGTTGAGTTTCTCTGTGATTTCTGCCTCATGTAGGTATTGAAACAGCTGTCTGACACACCCACATTCCTCCACTGTTCTGTGAAAGGTTCTTTAATAATTAGTGTAATCCAGAGACTGTCCTTTAAAAAAAAATTTAGATAAACACATGCTCACAATAACCGTCCTCAGAGCTAAATAATGTAGCGCTGAGCCACGTTCACTCAGAGATTTTAAAGCCTGTTTTATTTCAGGTTTGTGTGTGTGTGTGATGAAGCCCTCCTCATTCATTGTCATTTTTTAGGACTTGTTTGGGGTGAGCATGATCATCCCTCTGCTCAGCCATCATGTGAAGGCTCTCGGAGCAAGTCCCACTGTGGCTGGTATTGTGGGTAAGTTGTGTTCATCATGTTACAAATCCATTATGACCCTGACATTAAAAACTTACTCCCATGATCAGCAAACTGATTGAATATGCTGTAATGTGATAAAATATTTATTATCTTAGAACTAGACCGGGGTTCTGCAACCTTTGCAATAAAAAGAGCCTATTTTGCCACTTTGCTGACTAATTACGATGAGTCCGGAGCCGCAAAACCTGCTGCAACTGTGTACAGTCACCTGGTGGCTCATGGACCACTACAGGTTTGTTAGAGATAGCTTTTCTGACCAGTGGGGGTGATATTATATATAAAAAAATGTCTAAATATTATTAACATTTATTGATATTTTTAATTCATGTAAAAAAAGAAGAAATATATAATTTTTAGCCATTTTATAAAAATTAAAACACTGAACCCCTCAGGCCGATGTGAGTTCTCTTAATTGTTGATTAAGTTTCCTACTTAAAGCATAAAGTTAAAGACAGTACAACATTAGGCCAGATTGTTATATATCAAATTACATTTTTAAAGAAAAATAAATACTTTAGTTTACTTTGACTTTGTTTTTTGTGTTTTATTCTTTGTGTTATCAAAGTTACTCACATATTCCTTCTCAGCAGCTTGTCTTAAAGATATTCCAAAACATTCTGGTGGTTTTGAGAGAAAGATCACGCTGAGAGACTGGAAGTCGACTTAACGTGGCTAACAAACTAGCAGGATGTAGTCCACATGTTTTACACATTGTATTTGTACTATTCTTCACATATTTGAAAATGACAGGACATCTTCTAAAACTAGCCATTTTCATTGTTGGTAATAATTTAAATAAAATTCAGTTTTATGTTAGTTTTGGTCAAAGCTTGAAAGAGCCGCTGCAGAGGGACCGAAGAGCCACATGTGGCCCCAGAGCCGCAGGTTGCAGACCCCTGAACTAGACAGTAATAATTATCTTTTCAATGCATTCAAGATGATCATGTCAATTATTTTGATGAATCCTTAATGTAAAATCAAGTTTTGGAAAGTTTTACTTAAATTGAAAATAATAATTAAATGCCGTTTATTCAGTTTCTTCGTCAAAGATCCGTTCAACACATCTAATTCAATCACATGTTGAATCAACAGCTGTCAGATATTTTTACTCTTTATAGTTATGCCAAAATCTAAAAAAGGTAAATTTGTTCAAACTGAGTATTTTTTCCCCAGTTCTGCTTAATTCCACAGTGTATGTGTTATGCATATATAAGCATTTCCCCTTAATATGTGATATTAGAAGCCTATCTAATATTGCATATTATGCAGGTTGTGTATTGCTGATTCAAATCTCATCTTAAAACACATTTGCAATACTTGTTGTTTTAATGCATTGTGAAAGTTTTACACAAGTTGTCCTGGTGCTGCTTAATAATCCAGGTAAATGTAAGAAGGCTGAGTCAGGTCCTCTGGACAGATTCTTCTTTGTTACGTTTCGTCTTTTATCCAAAAGTTGAAGAAGACTAAAGAAGTCTTTTGGATAAGAGACAAAATGTTTCAACAAAGAAGAATCCGTCCGGAGGACCTGACTCAGCCTTGTTATATTTTACACAAGTTATTTCCCACCGTTTTACTGTTTTGTTGTTTATGTGATTTATTTTTTTGTCTCTTTTGTCATTTTAGCTTCTTTTTTTTTAACTTTTCATTCAGCACTTTGATCAGTGTCAGTTGTTGCATTATAAATAAACTTGACCACACAGTGACAAAATAAAAACATGAAATGATTTTGTAATTCAATAAAAGTGTAAAAGCAGCAGCGTCTCGATGACATCACCGAGTCTTCTTGGATGCAAGATGATGTTTCCCATACGTTTAAATGTGCTGGATTTCTGTCATTAACTTTCTCAAGATTTGTTGTATTTAAAAGATGAACAGATGTGCTCAGCTATTTTCACATCTGTCTCTGCATTTTCATTGAGTCCAAGGCCACAATCTGAACGGATTATTCAGCAATATTTACACACTTGTTCCTCATTAATGTCATCTTGATTGTGTACCTATAATCTGGCTTTGCTAGAAGCTTTTAGCTTATGAGGTTGTGAGCTGATGCACATCTTTTAGTACAGAATACTTCTGTTACCTTTGTGCTCTCGGGAGCAGCAGAAACTTAACTTCATCCTTAGATCTGAACCTCATCTGTGTCTGATTTCTGCTGGAATCAGCTGTGAGCTCTTTGTTTGACTTTACTAAACCATGTCCACTTCATCAAACCTACAATAGGTTGTCTTTTTTTTATATTTTTAAGCATTTATGCATATGATACACAAAATAAATCATTTTGTTTTGTGTGCTTCAGTGTAAACGAAACAGTTTATTTGAAATAATCAGTTTAAAGAGACATGTCAAGGATGATGGGGATTAATTGAAGACAACTGAGAGCCTTTTTGAATCCTTTATATTACATTAGAAGCATTTTCCCTGTTTGCCTGGTTTTATGGTTTTGCATTAGCACCCTAAGACAACTTTACTTGTGAATTATGTGTGAATTTTTACTATCAAACTGTTTCAGGGTCTACATATGGGATCCTGCAGCTTTTCTCAAGCACTATAGTTGTAAGTATTGACTGTGTTTCTTACTTTCTGTTCAGTATAACAAGACATGCCCACACTTTGTGGCCACAATGGTTGCATTCCACATGTTTTCTGGCATTTCATGAAGACAATGAACACTGGCTGTTTTAGGTTGATCGTGGTCACACAACGCATTCAGTGCGCGCACGTTCACTCACGAAGACCGCTCCTAATCATGACACACAACGTTTTCTTTTTTTATTTTTAACAGAGAATTCAACTTTTACCCTTTTAACACCACCACTGACTAAACAAATTGTTTTATGTTATGAAACAAGTGTGTTTTTTTTGAGAGGCACAAAAGGGACAGTAGGTTTGGAATATGAAGTTAGGTTCTCAGCTCCTTTCTGCTGCAGCTCTGAGCTCCTGGTTTAATTTGGTTTAATTCTCGGTGGTCATGCGACAAATTAAACTTATAAAGAGCGATCTGTTGGTTCCTTTATGCAGACCGGCTGAATCCTGATGAATGCAGGGACAGGAGAACAGCTGGGTTACTATGGTAATCCAATCCCACAAGTCCACATCCAGAACACAGACCAACTCAGCGGGTCCTAATGTCATTATTTCACCATGAACGAGTGTAGGACAGACAGGGCAAGAATCTAATAAAACAAGAGCTCCTTGATTCAGAGATGATGTCGAATTTGGGCTTCATTCTTTTACAGTCCTGTACCGTATTTTCCAGCATATAAGTCGCTCCAGAATAAAAGTCACGTCAGTCAAAAAAATGAATGGAAATGAAGAGGAAAAAAGATTTATGTCGCTTTGACGTTTAAGTCACATTTATTATGCGTTTAATGGTCAAAACAGCTTCATTTCGCCTGTGCGACGCCATCCATCCATCACAGCCGGAGCCACTAGCTCTCCAGCGTTCCTCCGCCTGCACCAGCTGAGTGAAGCGAGTGCACATGGGAGGACTCACTGGTGCAGTTCTTTGAAATTTAAAGCTTCAGTCAAAAATTGCATTATGAATATGGGGAAGAAACGTATACAAGTCTCTTCGGTGTATGTCGCAGGACTGACAGATCTATGAAAAAAACCTGCGATTTATACGCCGGAAAATACGGTAATTTGTCAAACTCTTATGTTTATTCATTTAAAATATTGGGCTTTTACTTGGGGCTGCTGTGGCTGAGTGGTTAGAGCAGTCATCCTCCAATGCAAGAGTTGGGGGTTCAATTCCACCAGCAGTCACATGTTGAAGTGTCCCTAGGAAAGACACTGAACCCCTCATTGCCTCCCATCGGTGCATGAATGTGATAAAGCACTAATTCGTCTCTACAGATTCAGGTTAGCTTTGTAGAGCTCTAGTAGAGTGCTGTATGAATGGGTAAATGAGGGCACAGTTTATGTTGTAAAGCACTTTGAGTGTAAGAAAAGTGCTATATAAGTACAGTCCATTTACCATTTACTTTACTGTTTGCCATCATTTGTTGAGTTAATCATGGGCTTTCATTACCATCCATCCATTTTCTTTACCCGTTTATTCCATTTTGGGTCACGGGGGTCTCTGGTGCCCATGTCCAGCAATCACTGTACGAGGGGCGGGGTACGCCCTGGACGGGTCGCAAGTCTATCACAGGACCACATAGAGACAAACGAGACAAACAAACATTCACTCTCTCATTCACACCTAGGGACAATTTAGAGTTACCAGTCAGCCTAACATGCATGTTTTTGGACTGTGGGAGGAAACCGGAGTACCCGGAGAAAACCCACGCATGCACGGAGAGAACATGCAAACTCCACCCAGAAGGCCCCTGGACCGGGGTTTGAACCAGGGACCTGTTCGCTGAGAGGCAGCAGCTCTACCAGTTGCGCCACCATGCTGCGGCTTTCATTACCATTTTTTATAAATTTCCACCATCTGTGTGAATCTGTGATTGTCAGGGCAGCTGGAGCGATGTGGTCGGACGGCGGTACTCTCTGCTGACATGTCTGCTGTTGAGCGCTCTGGGCTACGGCCTCTTGGGGATGTCTACGAGCATCACTCTGTTTGTCCTCGCACGAATACCTGTGGGTAAGTCAGAAGACAACGCTAAGACGTTAAATTGAGTTTATTTTTCACCTCCATAAAAACATGCTACGTTCATCCCCCGCTATATCACGGGTTTTTTAAACCCATTTTTTATATTGTGTGTACTGTACATTCATCTCATAGTTATCGTTTTAATGGCCAAAGTGTTTAAGAGCATATGAAGTGTTTATAAGAGAGTGGGACTGTCACGATTCATGCCTGTCTGTTCACCACACCCACCTGCTCCGCTGTGGTCAGCATAATTCTTCTCATCTGGCGGCTGCAGCATTTAAACTCTCCCCTGTTCGCTATCCGGCGCCAGATTATTGAAAGCCTTGCACAACTAAATGTCCAGTGATGATCTCATCCTGACCAAGTTTCTGTGCCCTGGATTTTCCTGTTTCACCTTGCAAAACTTTCCAGTGCGTTTCCACAGATGCGTTCTGACTTCCACCAGTCTTTTCAAAATAAAGCTTATTGAACACGCCCTGGCTGGTTGAGATTTTGGGCAAGGGTTTATAAAGCCTTAACATATATACCTAAATAATAAAATAAATATAACGCCACTACTTCACGGGGGTCTCTGGAACATAACCCCTGCGATAAGTGAGGGATCACTGTATTGGTCTTTTAAAAAAAATGTTTCATGAACCACTGGTTGGTTTATACGCGTGTGTTTAATACCAATATTGCAAATGATTCTTAAAAAAAGTGTGACCTTTGCACAATGAGATGGACTCCACTCCTGAAAATACCCACAGCCTATACATGGAGTGTTGAGAACATTTTAATGACAGAACGTGCCTTTATCTATTGAAACTGCAGTATTTTCTTGATATCATGTAGCCCTAGAAAGGGTTGTAAGTTCAGGTCTTGGAATTAAAAACTTCACAATCTTTTGAAAGGTAAAATGAGCCAAGAGTAAATAAGAATAAATAAATCATTCTTACCAGAAGACAGCCTGAATATTTAAAAGTGAGCTTTCTATTTTAACATTAACTTCTGTGTTTTTTTGGCATCTACTATGTAGTGTTTATAAGCATTGCAAAGATGTGTGCATATGTAACAATCTGCACATTGCTTTTGTCATCTGACAAATAAATATTTCTATTGTTTGATAAATGCTCATTGAAAACATTAAAGATGTTTCCCTCTTTATACTTAAAACCTGATTGTGTCCACGTTTGTCTTATGTGTTTTCTTCTTCCATTTTTGTCAGGACTGTTCAAACACTCCCTGTCCATCTGCAGAGCCTTGCTGTCTGACCTGGTGTCAGCATCAGAGCGCCCCCTGGTGATGGGACACTTTAATGCAGCTTCTAGTGTCGGCTTCATCCTTGGACCGGTGGTGGGTGGATACCTCACTGAGCAAGAAGGAGGCTTTTACATCTCTTCCTTTACTTGTGGAGCAATCTTTCTTATTAATGCTGGTGAGTAAAGATACAGGAAGAAACCTGGTGACGATTCTGTGTGAAATAAGTCTGAAATGTTGTATTTGATTTATTTATTTCAGCGTTGGTATGGATGCTGCCATGGAGCGAGACACGAACTGATCGTTGTGAAACAAACCACAGCAACAACACAAGTAAAGGATGTCATGACACTTACTGCAGCAAGTCCGTGCAGAATGGTTCTCATGCAAAGAGCCACCAGCCCGTGGTGAAAACAGAGACCGGAGCAGCTTCCAGATCTTCTTGGAAGCATCGTCTCAGGTGGAGGGAGGTGTCTCTGCTCCAGCCTGCTTGGAGACAGCTCTCTTCAGTGAGCTCAAGAATCCACATGGTGGCCTCCTCTGACATGTGGGACCTCTTTCTGGTGCGTCTCCTAATGGCCGTAGCCATCATGCTCTACTACAGTAACTTCTCCTTGGCCCTGGAGGAGCGTTTCTCTCTCAGACCAAAAGTGACAGGTTATCTGATCAGCTATAGCAGCACCTTAGGAGCCCTGGCTGGATTCCTGGTGGGGCCCGTTACCCAGATTTATAAGAACAACATGCCCTCCCTGCTGCTTCATTCCACAGTGCTCACCTGCTCACTTATTTTCCTCTACGCTGCTGCGCCGAGCGTCTGGCAAGTGCTGCTCACCTCCACCTTCTTTGCCATTTCCACCACTATTGGACGGACGTGTATCACAGACCTGGAGCTGCAGAGGGGAGGGGCCCAGGCCAGTGGGACTCTGATCGGAGCCGGACAGTCAGTCACAGCTGTAGGTCGGGTTTTGGCCCCTCTCCTCTCCGGTCTGACCCAGGAGTTCAGCCCCTGCGGTCCTCCCAGTCTGGGGGTTGTGCTTGCTCTGGCAGCTGTAGGTTTGCTCCTCGTCAGAATCCCTAAATGGGACAAAAGTGGAGCCGTAAAAACAGTGAAACTCTGAAAACTCACCAAAACATAAATGCAAACCACTAAGAGAGGTGCTCCTATTCACAGGGTTCAGCTGTAACGACCCGTGTGTCACACTAATGCACGTTTATTTTAACACGAGTGCCTCCTCTCTGTTGTGAGGTCATGACTGATGAAACTGTCACTACCAGCCTTCTCTCAGGGGCAGAGGAGTGAAGATGATTTGCAGTAAACACGATGAAAAGGCTGAAATGTTTGTTGTTCTTCCAAAGCTTTACGGGACAGAAACCGAGGCCTTGTTTTTGCACAAACTTCTTGTTGCTGCATCAGTTTTTCCAAGAGGTGAAAGAAAATTAGATGATGGCAAAATGATCCTGGTTTTACACGTTTTACCTCAATCCCACTTTTTTTTTTTCTTCTACCGTATTTTTCACCCTATAAGTCACAGTTTTTGCATAATTTGCATGCATTGCAATTTATACACCGAAGCGACATGTTTATGTATTTTTTCCCATATTTATAAACCAGTGTTTGGCTGAGATATGACCGTTTTCATTCATTCTGACTGAAAATATTGAACACTACCATTTTCAGCCGCTAGATGGCAGTCGAGTAGTATGGCATGCCGTTGTATCATGTAATGGATAAAAGTGGCTATTAATGACATAATCGACTTGTGTTAGCCTGCCACCGTCGTCTGCCTGGAGCAACCATCAAATCAGCTTCATTTCGCTTCGACGCCCCGGCAAAATGCAGCTGATTTGACCAAAGAAGTGCATTTATTAAGGAAAAGTTAAACTGAGACACACCTTTAGTATAAAGTTGAGCAAACAAATAATTGTTTTAGGTGATTTTTTTTTTTGTTAAATTTTGAATGTCCTCTGCGCGTTTGTGTTTCCGTGTGTTGACGTTTGAAAATGCAGCTGATTTGACCGTCCAAGTGCATTTATTAAGTATCCTGATGCATGCTCCATAATCCAGGTAGAAAAATCTGCAAAAGTTAAGTCAGGTCCTCTGGACGTTCAAAAAATAGCAAAAAAATAAATAAAAATTCTAGAAACATTTCGTCTTTCATCCAAAAGACCTAAGAAATCTTTCGGATGAAGGACAAAACCTTTCTACAAATTTTTTATTTATTTTTTGTTGCTGTTTTTTGAACGTCCAGAGGACCTGACTTAACTTTTGTAGATGCATTTGACACACATTTACTATAATTTCGAGCGAACAAATAATTGTTTTTAAGTGTTAATCTTGTTAAATTCTTGTTAGTCTTTCCGTGCACGCTCCCACGGTCGCCATTTGGCAGCCAATCAATTTTTGGCACTTTGACCTATATTTCCAGGTTGTCAACGGTGACGTGTAACAAACGCAACACGTCAGCGGTGATGCATAATAGATGCGACGTATACGGCGAAGCGACTTATCTATGGATTTTTCCACTTTTTTAGACATTTTTGGACTGACGCGACTTATAGGGTTTTGCGATGTGTACGGAGGAAAATACGGTAATACAGTCAAAATAGTTTTGGTTCTGGGATATGAGTGAAATCTTGTTTCTGATTATGAAATTTTTGTTATTTATCTGAAATTATGTTTTAAATTTCAGCAGAAGTTGTTTAAAAAAATGTAAATTTTTATTAAATTATGTTTTTGAGAACTGGTTTTGCTTATTAATCCTAAAGCAATATGAAAATGAAGAAAAAATTGTTATATACTCACAAACATTGCAGTGAAAAACACATGTGGAGTTCTATATAATTAAAATAAATTTAAAGGAATAAATAAATGTTTTTCTGTTTGTTTAAAAAATATTTTCGTCTCTTAAAACACCGACTGTTGTGTGCATTTATACAAGTTTTAATCAATTGTTTTATTTAAATCTGTTTTCTCAAAAATGGCCCAAACTATTTTCTTTTCATAATCGTTTTTATAATTTTTCTTCAAACATACTTTGGTTTTAATCAACCAAAAAGTTATATTTTAATTTCTCGACTCATTTTTTTTTTACAGTCTTGTAAATGTACGTTTGCAGACTTCTGGTGCTCTTTCATGTTGGCAAGGAAAAGATTTTTGGTGGTGCCTCCTGAAGTGTTTTAATGTGGTGCACCATAACCAAACAGCCAAAGCTAGAACAGAATTTGTTATTTAATTTAATTTAAACAGCAATACAGGAGTCAGGGAATCACTTTCTGATAAACAACTAGTTTTCTGTGTTGTTTTTTACAGCTCTTGAGAAAAACACCTTTACTGCTCAACTATAGTCCCTTGTTTGTTGCAGGGTTTAGGGGCCACGCCTTGGGCAAGCCTAAGTGTTTGAAATCGGTCAGGAACAGAGCAGGAACAAAAACGCTGAATTACTTCAGGGATGAGGCGATCAGACAATCTGCAGACACTTGGGAGCGCTTTGCACACAATCAAATTCAAAAATACGTTATTAATCCCAAAGGGAAATTAAGTGTTGTTGTAGCTCATCGTCCTGGTTTCATTCGAGAGTTATGGATGATAGCTGTGGGCAGGAAGGATCTCCTGCAGTGAAGCCAAAGAATCTGGTCACAGATACCGATCCGTCGACCTGGATCCAGCTTGCCGTCAGATCCAGCAGGCCTCTCGGTCCTCCTGGGCAGCAGGACTGCCCAAATCCCAGAGCGATGGTCGCTGCTCCCAGCAGTCTGAAGAGCTCCTCGTCGCCATGGACAGGCAGCTGAAGGTGCCAGGAGATGATCCTGGTCCTCCAGTTATCACGAGCAGAGTTTATCACCAGCTCCAGGATCTTGGCTCTTGGATCTTGAAAAGTTCAATTTTTGTGTCAATCATTTCAGAGAGTGAAACTCATATTACAGATTCATTACACAGTGAAATATTTCTAGCCTTTTTCTTGTAATTTTGATTATTACATCTTATAATGAAAGCCAAAATTCAGACACTCAGAAAACAAATATCTAATCAACTGTTTTTACAGTTTTAAGAAGTGTCATCGTTTTCTTTTTGCCTTTGAGTGATCAGTTCTTCAACTTAGCACAGCTCCTGTAAAATTTATAGCTGCATCATCTTTTGAACTGTTTGACAACTTTACAACAGTGTTCAACAACATAACACATTTATTATATAAATGGAAATAAAAATGCCAAAGTGCCCTCTGGTGCGGATATTCAAAAGTCTTTAAAGTAATTTATGTAACACAACAATTGCATGATTCAACAAAATGACATACACGTAATCTGTTCACTCGGTCTAATTTTGCACAATAAAACTACATTTACATTTAAAAACGGAAAGGTCACACAAGCACAATAAAATAGTTTATTGACATTAAAACAATTCTACAAGCAGATAAAAATGTTAGATGACTATACATTTAAAACAGAGCGATCAGTGCTGACATTTAAGTACTTCCTCTGTGCTTCCAATCTGCACAACACTTCTATGAGGTAATCATGTTTATTTTGGTTCACTTAAAATTGTGACTAATTAAAATAAAAACATTCAGAGTTAATCCAACCAGCCTGGAAGTTGAATGAGTTTTCAACTGGTTGACCAACAGATTCAGTCTGAATCAGTGCAGCTGCTGGTTAAAACCCAGGGAGCGTTTTTTTTTAAATAAATGTTATTTATTTGGGTGCCACTTTGGCCGCCTGAGCAGAGGGTTTTGAGGTGTGCCGTCTCTGGGTTCAGCTGCCCAGGCTGGAGACAAAGGTTGCTTCTTCTGCTCGTCTGCCTCGCTTTGATCGTCCCTCCTGTCAGCTGAGCTGCTGTCATCAACAGGAAGGTTAAAATGACGTTGAGGAGTCGGTACGTGGGATTCTCTGTCGGAGGAGTTGGTTCGGGGCATGACGCGCCTCATCCTGCCCGTCTCATTCAGAACATCAACAGAGGGGACCTCCTTCAGGGTGTCCAGCCGCTGCAGAGGCACCGTGGCTCCAGAAGAGGAACGTTTGGGTTGACCGAAACGAGAGCGCCGAGCGGGGTAGGCCACTTCCGACATGGTTTCCTGGTTACCTGAGACAGGAGGAAATGAAACGTACAATAATAAAGCAGGGTTATAGGCTGGTCCTTCTACATCATATACTGTAAAAAATACACAATGACAGATCAGCGAGGAGTCAGAAAGTACAGAAGCAAAGTTTAACCTCAGCAATGAAACAATCAGCTTAGCAAAAACATTTCTTGATACACACGAACACACGTCTTGGGACAATGAAAAAACGGTGACAAAAGGACATATTGTAATAAAGTCATGTGTTTTAGTACATTTTCACCATTTTATGTTTGATTAAAAATACTAAAGGGGGCCAAGATACGGTAGAGGCAGTGCAGCTGACTCAGGACCCGAAAGTCCCAGGTTCGATCCCCAGCCATTCCCAGATGTCGTGGTGTCTCTGAGCAAGACACCCAATCCCTAACTGCTCCCCGGGCACACACACAGCTGCCCAACGCCCCAGATGGGTGCATCCCAGGTGCGATGGGTTAAATGCAGAGAACTAATTTCACCATTGTATGGGAACATACAATGATGACAACACATAGCACTTTACTTTAGAGGAAAAGTACTTTCTGAATCTTACCAGCATTACTTCGTCCTGCCGAAGGAAACTTTGACTCTAATTCCTGTCCAGCAGGAAGTGAGAAATATTTCTGTGACCTGGGCATCATCTGAAAAACAAATGACACACACCATTATTATCATTACCATATTGTTATTTTTACTGTTGTTGTTGTTGTTGTTGTTATTATTATTATTATAGCAGTAGTACTAGCAGTAGTAGTAGTACTACTAGTATTAGTAGTAGACCTTATTTTAAGAGCTCAACCAACAACAAAGATCACAACAAAGGAAAAATGGGCAATATGATAATCATAAAGTAACTGTAGCCCTTTCTATTATTATTATTATTATTATTATTATTATTATTGAGACAAAAAAAATACATTGAACAGCTGCAAAAGAAAAGAGGGTTAAACAAAAAATTTTCTATAAATAATATATAAAAAAGAAACCGGAAGATTGTTAGAAAAATATGTCCGAAAATGTTAGAAAAATACATTTTGTGGATGGATAGGAACAAAAACAATAAATTGAGAAGCGTTTTATTTTGAAGAAATAAAAATATTGGAGCCAAAAACTTGTGCTTTTTGTCCATATTGTGGTGGCTCATCTTGCTTTGAGGCCATTTCTTGCATTTGGACCAGAGTGGTTCCCATTTAGTATTTAAACAATGAATTATAAAAGATACATGTTGCATTTAAGGAAAATGTCTGGACATTTGTTTAGGAACTTTTTTTCCCAGAAAGTCATGAAACAAACCTTTTAAGCCAAAGTCCTGATTCATATACTTGAACTGAGCAGCTCATGAAGGGGAGTGCTGATCTGTGATCAGTCTGGCTCGGACAAATCAACTTTTAACCATAACTTTTAAAACTATTGAAAAAAATCCTGATTATCTAATTGGATTTCCTTTCCTTTAACAACTTGTAAAAGTTTGTTGATGCTTAAACTTAAATTACTGCAGAAATGTGTGATTTATTTTATTGTATTCATGCATTTATTTTTACAGAAGTTATCTTCAAGGCCTGTTAAATTCCTGAGGTCACGCTTACCTCAGATCGAAAGCTTCCAGGTCGGAGGCTTCGGCGGACACTGGTGTGACGTCTGATTAAGATCTCTCTGGGCTGGCTGTCGTTGGGCAGGGCGTACTTTGTTGTATATGCAACGGTCTAAAAATAAAACGCAGAAAGATACAGGATAACAGGTAACAGACTGCAGGCGTGTCATTTATCAACTATTTTTTTTTTACAACAAAGTTTCCCAAATTTGCATAACCCTATTAGATTGTTTTTGGTCCACTAGAGATATCCAAGAGAAAACAGCTGAAGTGCTTTGGACAGAGACGACATTCTCTGCAGCTCAGATTACTCAACCAAAACCGGCCGCACCTGTCTGAGAAACACAGATGAGTTTCTGTGTTTACACTTAAAAAGTTGCCATTTGCACACATTTCCTGCTAACAAACCATTACTTCCATCAAGTAGTGACCAGTTACACCTAAAGAAAAGTTAGCTTGAAGCATTTAAACATGCTAAACTTAGAAATTTTACTTGCAAATAAAAATGAATAAATCTAACAATAAAGTCACTATAATGTACCATAATGCTCATCACTAAATGGAAATGTTTAATTGGATACAAGGTCCAATATTAAAAACAAAGCTTGAGGTGTAATATCTGACGAGTCAGAACAAAGAATTACAAATATAGTAAATAAAATAATAAACGGTCAATTTAGACAAATATCTAAACACCAAAAAGCATCTGAGCGGCCTTTGAAGGGTGATGTCATGTCACTGGTGGAAAAGTACTGCCGGAAGCTGTCCATATGCAAAACTCTAGTTTCAGTGTGTGTGAGTTCTGCATCGGAGATAAAATAGACTTCACTTGCCTGTGCTGAATCAAAATAAGGTGCAAAATGTATTATTTTTCCCCTCAAGGCAGATTTAGAGGAGAAAAGTTGAAGATTTTATTTTAGAAGGCAGATTTTAAACCCTTGCTACGAAAATACATTTGTTACACTCAGCACCTGTCAAATTCAGCTTTTTGTATTTCCACAGAACCTCTGGTCTCTGCGTGTTGATAGGTGCTACTATTGGGTCCACTATACAAATCTTATAATCTGCCAAATCATTGTTTTTATTCATAAATATCAATCCAATTGCTCTACAGGTACATCTGTTTCTTCTGCTTCCATGATTGCACTCTTACCTGAACACCTGACGGTTGGGCCTTATTTATTACAAAAAATAAAAAATAAAAAAAATAAATGAGCACACAGGCTTGTTAACATTTTCTTTTTTGATTTCCTGACTGTCACTTTTGGCAAAACCCATCCTGAAAGTTAAGAGAACTGACTCATTGAATTTGTTGAATAAGAAACTTTGAGTTTGTCATTATGAGACTGTGTAAGGAAACACTCAGCTAGAATAATGAATAATTTCCTAGTGATTTGTTTTCAGCATTGAAAAAACAAACAACAAAATAAAGCAAATATGTTGGATTTGAAACTTTTCATTCGTTCATTCAACCTTTATTTATGCAGGTTAATCCCACTCAGCCTTGGGGACTCATTTTCAAGAGAGACCTGATTTTAACAAAGAGTGATAATTTGCCTGTAGCCATCAAGAAAGTTGTGAAAGTACAGGGTCTCCCATCAAAATATTTTGGGAAACACAAGAAAAAATTAACTATTTAAAACTTAATTTAAACTAAACTTTTTTTTATTTTATTTATTTAAATGAATAAAAATAAAATAGATAATAGAAAAAAGTCATCTCACCCGTTGCCTGATCTTGTACATGTTCTTGGACAGGATGTTGTGCATGTTCTTCAAGTCTTCAGCAAAGAATTTCTTCTTAGATTTAGCAGACTCTTGCTTTTCTCCACTAAAATCAAAGATGTTCAAACAAAAAAAAGATCGATCACTCTCCCGTTGATCTGAATTAAAAAGAAACCAATAGTGTGAGGCAGGATCCAGGTTTCATACTGGAGGGAGACGATGGACGGAGCAGCACTGCTGTCTCCTGTCACTGTGTCCAGGATCTCCATGGCGTTCTGCAGCTCCAGCTTCTTGTAGAGTGCAACTATACTAGACTCAGCTCTGTTGTCACGGATAAGGATCTTGCGCAGGATTCGGTTGTTGAACTTCATAAACCTAACCCATAAAAAGACAAAAATAACCTTGTGAGAAACAGGTTTTTGTGATAGGTCTTCAGTCTTCAGACCTTGAAGTTGTGAAGTGAGATACATTTGGGTTCAGCTCAGACAATAATTAGGCCTGAGACAGTCCTCTGAAAAATACAAAATAACAATTTTATATATCATTCAGGAAATGCCATGAGAAGAAAAAGTAGCAATGTGCTAGTATTTCAAAATCTTAGACAGTCATACCTATACGAATGCAAAAATGTATGTTTAATAAGTAAAATATACATTATTTTATTGTGGAACCTGTAAGCAATAGCATCCTAGTTGTAGTTAAGATATATGTCCACTTTGTGCATTTGTCAAATCAACTTCATTTATAAAGCACATTTAAAAGAGAAGCTGCAAAGTGCTTAACAAAAAAAAAAATCAATGAGAGTAATTTAATAGAAAAAATAAAAATAATGATAGTACCAAAAAATAATTAACCAATTGTGAAATGCCAGAGAAAACAGATGAGTTTTTAGCAAAGCTTTAAAAACAGGAAGTGAAGTGGCCTGCCTAATGTTGGGGGCAGATTGTTCCAAAGTTTGGAGCCCACGACTGAAAAAGCTTGATCGCCTTTGAGCTTCAATGGTGTTTTTGGAACAGCCAAAAGCAGCTGCTCAGATGATCTCATGGCACAGGAAGGAACATATGCTCAAAAAGATATGCGGGTGCAAGGCACTTTATGCACTTAAAGGTTAGCGGGATAATTTTAAAATTGATTCTGGTACGTACAGGAAACCAGTGAAGAGAGGATAAAACTGTGCAATATGCTCAAACTTATGAATTCCAGTTAAAAGTCGAGCAGCAGCATTTTGGATGAGCTGAAGATGGGAAATGGAGACCTGACTGACCCCAGCAGAGAGTGCATTACAGTAGTCCAGTCAGGTAGTAATAAAGGTATGGACTAATTTTTCAAGGTCAGATCTGGACAACACTGGCTTAAGCTTAGCTATCTGCTTTAAATGGAAGGAGCTCTTCCGCTGAACAGCGTTGATTTGTTTATTAAACTTAAAGTCAGCGTCTAGAACCATCCCAAGATTTGTAACAGATTGCTTAAGATAAGGCTGAAGAGAGTCCAGGATTACAGGATCAGCGACATCGGTAGAGCAATGACTTCAGTCTTCTGATCATTAAAACTTAAAAAATTTGAAATCCTCCATGCCTTGATGCCATCAAGACATTTTAACAGAGAGTGAATGGAGCAAGAGCTATTTGGCTGTAAAAGCAAAGTAATCATCAGTATAACAATGAAATGAAAAATCATGTTTCCTCAGGATAGACCCCAAAGGGAGTAGATAGAATGAGAACAGAAGGGGTCCAAGAATCGAGCCCTGTGGGACCCCGCAGGAAAGAAGCACAGAAGCACAGATATTGACTCTAAAAAGGTGCTGCTAGCCTGTTTTTTCTAAAAATTCAGGTGAATTTAAACGTGTTGTGGTTAATATCTGGATAAAATCTCTGACCACAGCCATCAGACACTTAACATCTTGATGATTTTCAGATTACCTGTAATGTGTACAACAACTGTCTACATTTTGTAATGGTATCTAGCTCACTTTATTCAGTGTGTCAAAATGTTCATCGTCAGGTGCATGCTAATCCCACTGAGATCAAATATCTCTTTTGCAAGGGAGGCCTGGTCCTGAGCGCACTCTGATGTGAATGTTTTTGGCCTGTGGGAAGAAACCGGAGTACCCAGAGAAAACCCACACGAACACAAGGAGAACATGCAAACTCCATACAGAAAGACCTCAAGTCCAAACTGGGGATTGAACCCAGGACCTTCTTGCCGTGGACCTTCTTGCCGTGAGGCAACAGTGCTAACCACTAAGCCACCGTGCCATACGTGCATACAGTACAAGATGCCAACTTTATGTGTAACTGTCATACTAAGAACATGTTTTGACTGCTTAAATCAAACTGAAGATCTGCAGCTGAGTCTGGAAAAACTTGTCTCCCAGGATAAAAGGAACATGTCAAACCCAAGAGGAGAAATGAAGACAATTATTGTTGCAATCATTGATAAATATTATGCAAAATTTTAACAAATGCACAAAAGGACATCACAGGTTTAGCAAGGTTAAATTTAAAAAAAAATATCTATTTTCTTTCTTCTTCTTTTTTTTTTTACAATAACAATAATAATAATAAATTCCAGTGAAAGGAGCTTGACTATTCAAAAAGCTGAGGCAGAATTGAACGATTTGTTTGAAATGTGGAATCATTGTAAACACGCAGACGACTCCTTAGCTGGAGACGCCAAGACATCAACGATCTCTAGAAACAACAGGTAAATGTGGATTCTGACAAGTTTTGCAACAATATTCCTAAATTCTGAGAGAGAAACTGGAAGTAAAAAAATTCAGAGCTGAAAAGAAAAACATTACTTTTGACTGCAGGAGCTGAAAATGACACTAAATCTGACTAGATGACACAACTCCACATGGTTCTGATGTAAACAACATGCATCACTGAACCGAACCTGAAAGAAGAAAACTGAGCAGGAAAATTAAACAGATATTCCTCCTTCACTTCTTGGGTTTTCACACTAGGTTTAGTTTGGTTTGTATGAAACCATCACTGTAACTATTACGATATCTTTACACTGTAAAGTTTACAGAATACGATAAATTAGCAATGCCTGTTAACTCCCAGTGGTTTTGAGTTAAATCAGGAGACCAAAGAAGAGAAACTTCTTACTTGTCTTTCCAGTAGAAATGACTCCACTGCCCACACAGATCCTCTATTCCTGCCATTGTGTGCTCCATGAGCTGACAGCAAAGTGACTGCTGTTAGTGCTTCTGTGTGAAGGAACAGATCCACTAAAAAGACCAAAATATGTGTCTTACCCTGCAGTGAATCTCTACATTGATGGTTTCCAAGTTACGGTTTGTTCTGCGAACGTTGATTAACTCAATCAAAGGTCGGATACTGATCCCCTATACAGAAAATAAACCAAAACATATTTAAAGTTTTTTTGATTAAAGTTCAAAGTAGGTAAACTTCTGAGTTTTATGTGGAGGAATTGAAAACTAAAGTCAGACGTTTTAGTGCCAAATGGAAAATATCTTCTCTTAAACCAGGATAGACAAAAAAACAGACTGACATCCTTGTGATAATTCTGGTCTCACACTGAACTGGAAACCACGATGATTGAAATAAAAACCCTGAACAGTTCTGATGAGTTCGTCACTTTGTGCATCTAATATTTGATCACACTATTCAGCTTTAGAAAAGAAAAGCCAGTAAGGGAACAAGTGAAAACAGAGTGAGTTTAAGCATCCACTCAGCCAACAGTGGACATTCCTGTATATAACAACACTCAGAAGTAATAACCTGAAATGTGGCCGCACAACGAGACTCTTACCTGTAGAAAGACAGTGAAGATAATGATTGCAATGGTGGCAGTGACAAAGAGTGGCTTTCGACCAATAGTGTCAGGAAGAGTGAAGGCCAGAGCGAATGAAATGGCCCCCCGCAGTCCTCCATAGGCCATACCAAACTGATCTTTCAGGTTGAAGGAGATGGTGCGGAAAGGGTTAATGATCTGAGTCAGCACTAAAATACCTGAGAGAGTGAAACAGAACAAATAAGTTTGAAACTGAACTGTTTGCAACTAAAAGGTCTTAAATTATTTCCTTTTTTAACATTCATTCAACCTTTATTTATACCGGTTAATCCCGTTGAGCCTTGCGGGGACTCTTTTACAAGAGAGACCTGGCATGTTTTGTTGAACCATATCATGTTTGTTTCTTCATATTGTGACTTCCCAAACAAGTAGGTGCAGAAAGACGTTAATGCACCCACTAACTACTCTCTCTCACTCCTTCAGGCTGTAGGTCCTGGAGCAGGGTCAGCACATGGATTCTTCTTCTTCTCCATCTTGCTCTGTTTCATGTATCGTCAGTTGTGAGATGGAGTGTCTTCATATCCTGCTGGATCATATCCATCCACCTCTTCTCCATCCCCTACTTCGTTGACCAAAATCTTATGCATTTAATAGCCTTTTTACCTTGTTGTCATCTTCCGTTTGCTGCACATGCCCATACCATCTCATTCTTGATTAATATATCTTATCCATGATGCATGCCGTGCCAAGCGTTTTTCTGATATTGTCATTCCGCAGTCTATCCTTGAGGGCTGTGCACCATCATCTTGTACACTTTCCCTTTAATATGAATCAGCACCCTTTTGTGTCAAAGCACTCCTGTCAGCTCCTTCCATTTTTGCCATGCTGCACCAATTCTGCATTTAACGTCTTCTTCACAGCTTCCTTTGGCATTTATCACTGACCCCAGATATTTGAACGTTTCGACCCGCTTCAGTACATTTCCTCAGTAATTGTTAATATATTGTTAGCTTTCGAGCAGACCATGGTCTCCATTTTTGCTGTGTTTATTTTCAGACCTTTACTCTCAAGTGCCTGCTGTCACCATCTGAAACTATCTTGGAGATTAACTTCAGAATCTCCAGCCACAACTAGGTCATCTGCATACAACATATCCCACAGCACTTCTCCTAACAAGTTCAGTATTTGCATTCATCACAATAACAAACAACAGTGGGCTGAGACATGAACCCTGATGAACGCCAACTTTAATCTTGTGCTCACTACCCACCAACTACTATAAGCAGATATTCCAAAAATTTAAAAAGAGACTTAATAAAAAGAAAATAGTTGGCCATGTGGATAAATCATGCTTTTACCTAATGGCTCACAAAGCTAAAATTATAGAAAATACATGTTATTAGCTATCTCCACTTCATCTGATCTCCACACTGACATTTCTATTAAAAAAATAGTGTGATTTAATAGAAGATAATCTTCAAAGATACATTACACATTTTCATCCAATCAGCAGTCACGTGTCACCCTGTAGTTTCAACTTCTGGTCGCAAATGTTTTTCAAACAACAGTTCACAGTCCAAAGGCTGACATCTCAGTGATCAGTCAGTGGCGATGTGAAGTGGTGGGACAATCCAATGTTAATTTATTTATCAATTTAAAACTGGAAAAAAAATCCAATGCTGTTTAATTAAAGGAAAGTTAAAAAATTAAAAAGTAAAAAGTAAAGCTCGGTCAAATTTTCTCAATTTGGGACGTTTACAGCATCTGTAATATTCCCTTTTCCCCATTAATCAGCAGTAGATGAAGTCACAACGTGTCATGGAATGAGCCTGTTGTTGTAATGAATTAAAACAGATTTTTCAAGCTCCAACCCGTTTATTTTAGCATCTCTAACCTCGTTGTTGAGGACTCGCAGCAGTGATAAGCTCAGGTTATTTAAGGTCTGATGTCAAAGCAGCAGCTGGCAACTAAAGCGGTTTCAAATACTTTCAAGATTCCACCAAACTGAATGTCAAACAGAACCTGAACTCTTAATGTTGGACTCAGATCCCCCTCATCCCCTCGACTTACCCAGACCTCTCCACACGAAAGCAAACAACAACGTGAAGAGAATGTAGGCCCAGTTCCACTCATGTTCTGTTGTTATGGCAACAACACCCAGGAAGAAGAAGATAAGGGTCTCCGAGATGGAGCCGAGCATCTTGATCACGTGTCGGATGGTTGTGCAGGAATGCTGAGAAACGTTCTCCTCAACGTAGTACTTCATGGTGAGCGCACAGCAAACAATGCTGCAGGAACACACAGACCAAAACAGCTTTGTTGTGCTTTTCTTTCCAACTTTCATTAAACTGTCTGCAACTCAAATATTTGAAATTTGAATCATTTTATTTTTGCTCACGCCATGATGGACGAGATGGAAAATAGTTCGGACACCAGATACGCCAGGTAGCTGTACATGAATATGAAGAGGGGTTCAATCTCTTTGACCTTGGAGGTGAACCTTGTCGTGAAGGCGGCCAAGAAGCCGAACAGGACGCCAAAGGCCATCCCCCCGAGTCCGACCACGAAGAACCTGGCCACTCCCAGGAACACATCCACAGGCTCCACTATTGGCATGTTCGCCACAAAGCTGAACATGTTGTACAACACCTGAAAATACAAACACACGGGTTTTTTATGCAAACATGGAAGCCCACACCAAAGTCATGTGGGATCATGGGCGGATGCCTCTTATGACAATGTTTCACATAAGAGCGATTTATTAAAATATTTACGCTGCACTGTTTGCTTTCTGATAATCTCATTTCACTAAGCACCTTGAATGAGTCACGGAAAAAGAGAGCATTTGGCACAAAAGAAGGCTTTGTTGTCCTCCATTTACACAAACTAGGAAATAATGTCAGGACTTCTGATAAATTAGGGAGAAAGGTAAAAAAAATCTACTCTGGTAACAGAAAGACTGACCACATTTCTACATACATAATATTTTAATAGTGTGAACAATATTTTTGTGATTTACTGTTAAACTCTAATGTGTAACACCTAGCTGTCAAGTACACAAAACCTGTAACTTAAAAAGTCTTAATGCTCAAGATCCCTTCAGAGTGCCAGTTACTAATAAAAAACTTACAGCACTAGGTTTTTAAAAGTATGAAGCACTTTTACAGAAATGTTTGATTGTCCAGAACCATCATTTGATAATGCAGCATTATTTTTACCCATTTACCCTACACACTTGTTAAGGAGTGTTCTTTAGAGAGTTTTGCAGCTAAGTAGATTTATTTTGTGGCTTTATTGTAAACTATGGGTTTTCTTTTATGCCTGTTATGTTTTATGAGGGGTGGGGGTGGGGAGATTTCCTAAAATTGAAGAGGGCATGACGCATGGAACAGAATAGTGATTCATCCAGTCCTGAAAGGAGCCTTTAAAAAAATTTAAGTGATTTCTCTGTGTGAAGTGTGGTGGTAACAGGCACTGTCCTGATTCTCCACCTCACATTCTAGGTAAAAGGGGAAATTCAGTAACCTTTTATCTCTCCATCGATCTGGTTTCAGGAAAAAACACAGCACAATGGCGGCTTCATTTAAGGTTTTTAATGATGTTGAAGCACTGGATGCTAAGGATTATTGTGCTGCACTTTTCTTAGACCTGTCTAAAGCTTTTGACACTGTGGATCAGAACATCTTGTGTCATAAGCTCTCAGAAACTGGTTTCTCAGATCACACCATTGGTTGGTTCTCGAACTGTCTCTCAGATCGGAGGCAATGTGTTCAACATAATGGTACTTCTTCCAGCTATCTAACTGTCAACAATGGTGTACCACAAGGTTCAGTCTTAGGACCCAATCTCTTTACAATCTATATGTAATGTAGGTCAGATCATCCCTGATGCATGCTTACATTTCTATGCTGATGACACAGTTGTTTATTGTCGAACGAAAACAGTTGCTAAGGTTTTCCATCTTTTACAGTCTGCGTTTGACATCATCCAGTCTGATTTGTTCTGTCTCAAACTTGTCCTAAACGCTGACAAAACCAAAGGGATGTTGTTTTTAAACAGGAAGTTGGTTCCAGCTGTCCTTCCCTCTGTTTTATCTTCAAATGGTGTCCCTATTGAGTTTATCGATTCTTACAAATACTTGGGTATTTTGATCAGTTCGCATCTCTCTAAGTCACTTATCAAAAGCTTGGTAAAGAAACTGAAAGTTAAATTGGGTTTCTTTTTCAGAAATAGATCCAGACTAACTCTGAATGCTAGGAAACACCTTGTAACTGTGACTTTCCTTCCCTCCATTGACTACGGTGATATCATTTACATGAATGCTCCTACAAGCACCCTGCAGTTGTTGAATGCTGTCAATCATGGTGCACTAAGATTCATAACTGGCTGTAACTACTGTACCCACCATTGCACCCTGTATTCACTGGTTAACTGGTCATCATTAACTTCACACAGACTCTCTCACTGGTACATTTTCATCTTTAACTCACTTCTTCTTCTGTTGCCTTCATACATCTCCTCCTAAATGTCACTTCATCAGGGCAGCTACAGCGTGCGCACTCAAGACATCATTACCTGCAGTGTATGCTCAGTGCAGACCAAACTTGAAAAAGGGCCTTCTCCTACTCCACTCCTGTTTCCTGGAACATCTTGCAAAAAGATCTGAAGCTCTCAACCTTGACCTCTCAAAGATTCTAAACAACTGCTACGTTCATCATTTCTTCTGTCTACTTTTCATTTTATATGCTTTTACACGATTGTCTATTGTTTTCTGTACCTCATCTGTGTTTTTTTGCTTAAAACAAGTCTCTTGTAAATGAGTCCTCGAGGCTCAATGAGACTAACCTGGATAAATAAAGGTTGAATGAATTAAAAACCTTACCACCATAAACACTAAGATCAAACTTAAAGATGATGTTCAAGTGTTGTTTAAATCCTAAATCTTTAAATCAAACCAGCCCTACTTTTATATCAGATACATACAAACGTTGAGCTTTGATAGAAATTTGAGCTTGAGCTGTTTTCAGTCATGTAACTAACATGTGTATGACTCCTCCCACACAACCAAATGAACATGTAACTGTGACCTCAAGAACTGGTTTGGTAGGATCTGAACAAACAAGCTCTGAATGTGGCATGGCACTTTACTGTGAATACGTGTGTTTTATGTTTCTAACATTCCCTCACTTCGTTCATTCATCATTATGTTTTTTTTACTGTTCATTTATCTGTTCAGAAATCTCTCCGGTGCACAGTTGTTTCTCTCACGCACAGATGCTCTCAAACACACCTCTACCTACAGAAGTAAAATGGTTTTTTTCTAAAAAAGGAAACCTGAGCTGAACCTTTTCAGTGTGGAGGAATAGAACGCTTCACACAACAAAAGGGAATTGTTTTACCCATTTCTTTTTCTTATACCATTCTGAAATCAAACAACTTTAAATTGTATGTGGCATTAAGTAACCTAAAAATAAAAATAAAATAAAAAGAAGAAAAGCTCTGTTCTTAAAATTGTATTTAAAATTATTTGGGATTGTTACTGATCTGTAACTTCTCCGTTCTCTTAAAACTGACCTCAACAAACTTGTTCGGATTTGTTTTAAGCATGTAGACAAGGTATAAACAATCAACATCTTACCTGACTATACGTTAGCTCGTCAGTCTAACCAGAGTTACTGTTTTTCCAAACTGAGATCATTCAAAGAGCTATCTCCAACAGGTAAGACATTACAATTTTTTCCACCAAATGCCATTTCAAAATTGTTAAACTATTCTTCTGTATAGTAGGAATAAGTAGCTGGCAAGATCTCTAAAACAATGTGTTGTACTTATTAAAACAATTACCACCTTGATAATGATGGAGATGTTTTCATAACAAATAGTGGCCCAGAAAGTTTCGCTCTAAGGGTACCGAGCACTTCAAGTGTTTGGTACACACGAAGACTGCAAGAGTCAACTCACCACAGTGACCGCATCATTGAAGAGGCATTCTCCAAACAACACGATGTAGAGCTGCTCGTTCACGGACACATCTTCAAACACGCTGAGCACGGCAACAGGGTCCACGGCTGAGATGATGGAGGCGAACAGTAGATTCTCCTGGAGGTTGATGTCCTGCACCTCAAAAGCCTCGATCTGGCAAATAGTGAAAAGAGAGATTCCGATGCCGATGCTGTTCCACAGGGTGCCCATCACTGCGAACCAGAACACCTGCACTCACAAAGGAATAAAGATGCTCCTGAAGCGGAGCTGAAAGCCCAACCTGTTGACAGAGACCACGTCAAAAGGTCTGCGACGTACCGTGCCTATGTTCTCAAAGAAAAGCCTGGTGGGCATGAAGTAACCAGAGTCGAGGACAATTGGAGGGAGCATGTAGAGGAAGAAGACATTGCTGGTGAGCACAGCTGGAGGCTCTTCACGGACTGCATGCATGATGCCCCCCACAATCAGACCAATGCTTACAAGAAGGCAGGACTCCGGCACCCACACAGTGATCTTATGATACACTTGAAAACCTGGAAGAGCAAAATGAAGTTGACTTCAGAAAACACACAAGATATGAAAGAAGCCCCTCCTGTGCAGAATTCATTAATTCATCCAACCTTTATTTATACAGGGTAGTCTCAATGAGTCACAAGGACTCGTTTACAAGAGAGATCTGTTTTAGACAGACAACAATAAACTACAATAAAAAGCAATTAAAAATTAAAGTAGTGCTATAAAACAATGTAAAATACTAAAAACAAGAACGCGTATCAGCTTTGATGTATCAAATATTTAAAATCCCTTAAAGAAATTAAGGTGGACTGCTTCAGATATTTTTGTAAAGTGTTCCAGGATACAGGAGCAGAGTAAGAAAAGGCATTTCTCCCCCCCGAGTTCAATCCGCACTGAGGGGACGCTGCAGGTAATGATGGCCTGAGAGCGCACGCTGTAACTGCACTGACGGTGTGGCATGTGAGGAGATACAAGAAGGCAGCAGACCCAGGAGTGACTTATAGATGAAGATAAACCAGTGTGAGAGCTACGTGTAGATAATGATGACCAACTGACCAGTGAGTGATGGATATGGTGTTACAGCCAGTTATCTTATGGTAGACAGCATCCAACATCTATAAGGAGCTGGGACATTCATGTAAATAATGTCACCATAATCAACGGCCAGTAGGTTCACTCACTCATCAACAAAATCTCACCTTTTTAGAGTTTACTCACCAATTTTAGAAAATGAAGCCAGCAGCATCCATAAAGTGATCTCAAATGGGATCTGTATTCTTGGGTAATCCATTGTAAACGTGGGCAAATTGGACTTTTCAGCTTCTGGGTAGGCATGAGGTCCATGATCAGGCTTCACTGGAGGCAGCAGCGTGACACCTGAGGTGGGTGGTGGTGGGACTTCTCCTCCAGAGCCACACAGAAAACTTAAAAACGTGCAGATAATCAGCAGCGGGACGGCTCGACTGCTCAACACTAATTCCATTGCGCGTAAAAGTCCAAACCCTTGAACCCAGACTGGTGTGAAAATCCTCTTCCTTATAACTTCATCCTGCCTCACTAACTAACTAAATAAATAAATAAACATTTTTTTAAAATCTACTCTGGTGAGGACAAACGGCTTTTTTATTTAAATGTATGACTTTTGCATAATCTTTGTCCAAACGGGATGCCAGAAGTCGTTTTATTCCTGTGACGAGTTTTGCTGTTTCTCTCAAAGTGCAGCGCAAAAACACCTGCGCGCGAGTTCCGACACTGCAGGGCACGGCCAGAGCGCTTCTCTGATTGGTTGTTACCTGAAGCAGGTAAAAAAATTGAAAAAAAATTAAAAAGGTGGTACCTTTTGTGTTTCCTCACCAATCAGGAGGAGTTTCAGCGACAGAAGGAGCCAAAACCAAAAGTTTCTGTTTTCACAATAAGAAATCAAAGAACTTCACTGATTAATAAAAGTGCTTTAAACGCAGAGGCTGATGGTGTCACCAGAAAGTGAACTCTTAAAGCATATTTTGTGAGTATAAAGTTATTTTTCTTTAAAATGCAGTTTAATTGTTGTAATATCAAAACTAAATCATTATTAATAAGTGCAACAGTGTCTGCTCATTTGGCTCTGAAAGCTTTTTTTTTTTTTTTTTTACTCTTTTTGTTTTACAGTTATTGTGCTGCTGTTTCCTTACAACAAATACTCAACACATCTTTAATCAAGAATTCATTTTGATATTGCCATGCTGTTTTTAAATGTGCAAGGAAAAGTTTGGATATTTAAAAAGAGAATAAGTCAGTGGTTCAGTTGTTTGCAATAGACAGTGGATACATTTTCATCAAATGTCCTAAATATCACTAAATTCTCATGAAGAGTGGAAGATATAATGAAATAATGTCCTCGACTATAAGGAGCTTATTTGTGAGAATAAACTGTTTTTTTCCCCCCTCTCTTCTATATTTGTTGTATCAGATCATATTGAAGGAAGGAGTTTGGAGAATAACTTAGATTACTTTTTAAAAAAATTGTAGATTTTTGTTGTTTATTTATGAGATTATAATTTCCCTACATGAGGCAAATTAAACAAGGTGTGCTTTATTTTCTCAATTTGTTTTAATTAGCTTGTTTTCCTAGTTTAAATTGTTTTAGTCTAGAGTTTTATATTTATTTTAATTGTAGTTTTATGTATTCGCCAGTAGTATATAATTGTGGCCAGTGAAACACTTCTGACTTTCACAAAGGCTGTTTTAGGCCTGAACCTTTTTATTCACGTACAGAGCAGCATGAGTCATTAATTGTTAAAAGCAGAAAGCCATAACTTCACATTAAAACTGCTGACCTGTGCTATTTTTACATCTGCCTGCGAAGAAAAGCTTTTACGAGACATTGGTTGCTTCCCGAGCTTCCCACACTCTCAGATTGGATAGATATTGCAAATGAGATATATACTGATAATGGAAGCAATTACCTTTTCCATTCATCTAAAGAAAAGCACATTTATTAATATGTGGGTTAAATGGGTCAGATATGTAAAGGCCTTACAACCAAACTTTGTAGAGGAACTGAATTATTGATCCTGTGGTTTTTTTTCCCTCTCCTTTTACAGATCAAACAAAGTAATTAATTTGCATATTTTGTAATGCACAAGGTTTTTTCCTCTCTTCCTATTTGTTCTAAGTTCATAGATGCCTTGTTAAAAGACATAGCAGATGTCTAGATATTTCTGTTTGATGATTGTGAATCTGAACCACTGTCAAAAAAATAAAGAATATCAAAACTGCTGACCTGAAGTCTGCAAAGACACGTTTTTATTAGTTAAACTTAGTCAATATTTCTGACATTTTGATCAGATTAGCTTCTTTCATCATCATCCTTAAAGGGAATAAAATTACTACTGCACCTGTTAATTTAAACTAAGCCTGTGTCATGATTTGAACTTATTATCACACACTTCTGACTGATCTTATGAGGCAAATTTAATGAACTTCCCATTTGTTTTGGCTGCAGGTCTTCCAGCAGCAGCAGCGTGTGGTCGGTGAGGCCGACAGCGGCCTCTGGCGGTCAGACGGAGTATTGCCGGAGGTTCGTGACGTGTGGATGCGAGTCAGGGCGAGTCTGTCCGCGGGGATCTTCGCTTCGACCACGATGCGCATCAGGATGACAAGAAGCCTTGGCCCTTTTAACGGTATGACAGATTTATTCATTGATTTCAGCGTGTCGCTCATTCTGAGGTGGATGTTTGTGTCGAGGGTTGTTTGTTCCCGGAGAGAAGATGCTGCTGTTTTAAAGCGCAATGGGTTCACGAGCAGCATTCAAATGTTTTTGCTTGTTGTTTTAATTTCCCGGCCTGTTTGATGTGTTACACCACCACGCCGCAGCTTCCGTGGATCAGTACCATCATGACGCAACATTTGTTATTGTCCGTGAATAAATAGAGACGCAGTTAATGTCAGAGTCACTAATGCTGCCATTAAAAACGGATGTACTGTCTGTGGGCAGCCTGTTCATCAAACTGATTCACTGCACAGATTGTTGATGTTTGATGATAAAATTAATGTTACTGTTTCCCACCCTTTATTACCCGGATATGCTGCTTCATGGTGCAGGCCTCCTCTTAGAGAGCAAAGGATTAAATCTGATCTCTTGAGTCACTTTTTAATGAAAGAGCTCAGCTTTTGTCACATTTACTGACATTTCTGTGGTCTTATGTTATGGAGGGGCGCTTTAAAGCAAGAAAACTTGTGCAATTATCAATATTTTTCTTAATCTTCATAATCATAATATAGAGCTTTCTCCCAGTTTCATTCTCGTGCACTCCTCCTGTTTGTTTTTGTGTAAACCTTATCCACTTAGGAGTAAAGTCCTTTGCTTATTTTCCTCAGTTTGTGGCTCAGTCTTGATGAGAGACTTTTATGCACAATCTAAATGAAACTCGTGAGGCAGCATCCTGCTCAGGTCAGCACAGGAGCCAAATCAATACAGTCAGGGACAGGAGGAGCCTGCAGGGTGGCACAGGACAGTTTGTTTCAAGACCAAAAACAAGAAGACTGGCTTGATGGCAGAGCAGAAGAACCCTTTGAGAGAGATTTACAAATGATGTAAAGAAGAGAGCTGCAGTGCATCTGCTGCTGACAGCATCTGCAGGGGGACAGCTGTGAGCAAACTGGGTCATTTTAGTCTTCAGACCACATGATATGACAAAAAAAAAATCCTCTCTGATGCTGTTTTCTTGTAACTGTGTGTTATTTAAATGCAGAAGCTCACAAAAAGCAAAGCCCCACTAATGATTTGTGCATATTTTAGGTCCAAAGCCTCGTGCAGCGTTGAATGAAGCTGTCGCATTTTATTGACTCTTAACTCTGTTTTCACGTCAATCTGAACTAATTAGGAGCTATCTGAATGATTTCTTTATAGTCATTATGCAAACTCTTTACCTTATTATATTACTTTGTATTATTATTTAGTCAAATTTTAAAAACATAACGTTTCAGTAAATTGTGAAAGACGTTCATGGCAATGAGAATTAAACAAATGGTGGCCTTCTCTGAGGGAACGCAAGACGTCGGCCATCTTGTCAAAGTTTTAAACAAAGTCGGGTTGCTCAACCTGTTAGTGCTCAGAGTGTGTAGATGATTCTCAGCTTCCACCACACCAAACTTTAGCTCATGTGCATGTGACTGAGTTGTAGCTGCTTTTGTAGTTGCTGAAGTTTAGCTGTGGAACTGTTCAAAAGATAATCAGTCGTAGATGTACTAATCTAATGATTGATTTCTTAGAGTTTTAATAAGATCCACACTGTGGTTCATGAGATATTTTGCTAACAGACAAACAAACACACATGCACAGGTAGTTGCAACTCACCTGCTGCCATGAAAGGCAGGACATAAGAAGTTATGACTGATGCACAACTTTGTAGTTTGACTTTGGAATCGACAAACTTTAAAACGTATATCGATAAGTAAAAAAGTACAATCGTTGTTTTACATGGTTTAAGTCAAATAGTTTAATGTCAAAGCTAATTTCAAAAACTGATTTGTTGCAACTTCAAAGACTTTTTTTTACATTTTTTCTGAAAGGACCTCATGAGAACAGATAACAGTAATCTCTAATTATGGAGCTTAAAGGATTAATTTCTCAAACAGCAGTGAGCTATGAACGGAGATGATTAGTCTGAATTGTTCATCAACAGCAAAACATTTGGTAACTGTTTCATGATGAGATTTTGATGATGAAGTTTATTTATGACACTAACAGAGTAAATCCATTTGTGATGAAAATGCTCTTTATATACAGACTCACTTGAGAACAGAGTTTCTACTAATAAATGTCAGTATTTTTATATTTATCTTTACTTAAGCAGTATCATTATTTTACTGCAAACAGATAAAAACATGGACTTACTCAATTATTTTTTTTAATGTTTTTAATCAATCAGCAAACATCAGTGGTGGAGAAATACTCAAACTCTGTACTTAAGTAAAAATACAAATAAACAGACAAAAATGTACTCTTGTACAAGTATAAGTACCACATTAATGATTTTACTTAAGTAAAAGTAAATAAGAACTTGCTTTTAAAAATACTTAAAATATTAAAAGTGAAAGTACTTACTGAATGTATTACCTAATGCAATGGTCTATCTTTAAGTGTGCCTACTGTATTTTCTGTAATGTTGAGTCATTTTAATGAACGATGTTGCAGATAATACATGTTTTTATTGTGTTTACTCTGTGACACAGTTCACACTTGGACTTGTGATTCTGTGCAGCAGAATTTCAGGGATGACCTGCAGAGTTAAATGTCATTAAGCAAAATAAGAAAGAGGAATGATTTTATCTTTGAACATTTTTATTTAACACAAAACCAAACCAATGTGTCATTTTAACTGCAGTAAAAACATTTAAATAAAAGCTGTCTGCCTGAAAAAAGGAGCATTAAACCTAACAAACAAATAGACTGATCATTTCAACTCCAGTTTGTCATCAACTCTAGTTAAAATACTGTATATTCAACCTTGTACTGGGTCAATAGTGAAAAATATTTAACTTCCTGACACCATTTTCAAAACTTGGACCTGAGTGTTGAGACATTTGGAGACATCTCTTGTCTCCTAACATCATGAACTGACACATTTTAATATTGCAGCAAGAATTTCTTGTTCAAGTTCAGAAGACGTTGGTTTACAAAGTTTTTTGAGTCCAGTCAAGCTCTTTTGGGAGAGAGACTCTGTCCTGCTGTTCTGAACAGTATTTCAATAGTCTTTCAATAATTTTTCAATATTCTTTCAATATTCTTTCAATAAGGCCATGGGTGGTGCGTATCTTCTGGCCGACTCTCTGCAGTGGAATCCATGTTGGGTGTGTTAGTGGTGCTGTGGGTGCACCCAGCTCTATGATGTATATACTAGAATATACGTCATTGGTCCAGCTGTTCTTGAAGGTGGGTCTAACGTTACCTGTCCACTTTGCAGTGATTCAATGGACCAGCTCCCCTCTCACCATCGGTTACTTTCAAACTAACAAACAAATAAAAAAAACACAATGTGAATGTAACTTGTAACACAACGCATTATAGAAATGTAGTGTAGTAGAAAGTACAGATATTTAATGTAAAATGTTGTGGAGTAAAAGTTGAAAGTACCCACGTTTAACTCTACTTAAATACAGATACATGAAAACTATACTTAAGTACAGTAACAAAGTACTTGTACTTAGTTACATCCCATCACTGGAAAACAGAGAAACTATTTCAGCACTTTGCTCTGTTTGTGCCTCCTCCCATACGATGGATGGATGTACGTTGGTAATGGCTGTGAGCAAGATGTATGGATGATCGTTCCCCCCCGTGGCTTTACATTAGATCTGCTGTTGGTTTCCTACAGAGCCTCCATCAGAGCCCCAGGCAGCGGAGATTACAGCGTGCTAAAGACGTCTCCCACAGACACAGCGGCCTTAATGAGGCAGAGCACCCATGCTGTAATTATCATCTGTTCCAGTCTCTCATAAAAAGAGCCAAATAAACGGGATTAAACTGGTAGAGAGCATCACACTCACTGGATTGCGTGTGAGACAGTGTGGAGAGCACTTGGAGTGGCGTTTGTGTGTCAATGGGAGACGGCGTTGTTCATCTGCACGTGCAGCGTGACGTCAGCGCAGTCGAGAATAAAAATAGATCTTCATTGCCGAGGTCTTTACGCATGAACACACTTGGAGCATGAAATAAACAACCAGAAAAAAGCCTGAATGAAAATGAAATGGTGGCAAATTCAGGTTTGTGTGGGTCAGGACAGAGAGGGAAAAGAAAATATGAATCACAGCGAGCAAAAGTAAAAAAGGACAACTACAGAGTCTGACAGGCCACAAGATGTGTCAACATTGACCTTTCCTGAATGGATTTAATCCAGGCTCATATCCTTTTGATTTTAATTTTACATTTCTCTTGTTCTTATTGCTCTATTTGTGGCCTTATTCACATTGTTTTCTATAGAATTTAAATCAGTCATCTGTTCTACTTTAATCTTTCACAGCTGCTCTTGAGGTTTGATCTATTTGTTGCACTTACTCACAAGGTTTTTTTTTTTTTCTGCTGATAAGTCTGTATCTCTTCCTGAAGTCTGTTCTATTTAAAACTATTTTGTTTTCTTTTAAAAACTTCAAAGCTGCAGAGAATTGAGAGCAGCGAGAGTGTGGCATCCAACTGGACAACCATGACCACAAGAGAAAACGGTTTCATTTGTCAGTGTTGCCTCTGCTGCAGTAAGGAGTCAACATGAACCAGCTATTCTGAAATAACCTGAAGATCTTTTACTTGTTTTTTCAGATTAGAGTGGTGATCAGAAGTGAACAGGCATTCATCATAGACATGAATATTAAATAAGGTGGAAAAAATTGAACAGCTCTTAGTAGAGTGATTATACAATACACAACTAGCATGATGTTTAAAATAAGTTTGAATTTATTGTGGATTTTCTCCACAAAGATCACACACACATATATATATATATATATATATATA